CGGAACCCCACTTGTTATACCTTTCCAGTTGGATTGGGAGCCATTAATAACTACTCTCTGAGTACGGTTATCCAGCCAGTTATGCACCCACCTTATAGTAGCCCCATCTAAGTTGTATTTGCCTAGTTTGATAAGAATATCATGCGAGACCATATCAAATGCCTTACTAAAGTCTAGGTATACCACATCTACCGCTTCTCCCTTATGCACAAGACTCTTTATCCTGTCAAAAAAAGCTATCAGATTGGTTTGACATGATTTGTTCTTTACAAATCCATGCTGGCTATTCCCTATCACCTTACCACCTTCCAAGTGTTTGCAGATGATTTCCTTAATTACTTGCTCCATTATCTTCCCTGGCACAGAAGTTAAACTAACTGGTCTGTAGTTTCCTGGGTTGTTTTTATTTCCCTTTTTATAAATGGGCACTATATTTGCCCTTTTCCAGTCTTCTGGAATCTCTCCTGTCTCCCATGATTTTCCAAAGATAATAGCTCAGGGGTAGGCAACCTTTCAGAAATGGTGTGCCGAGTCTTCATTTATTCACTTTAAGGTTTCGCGTGCTGGTAATACATTTTAACGTTTTTTTAGAAGGGGTCTCTCTCTAAGTGTATATTATATAACTAAACTAATTGTTGTATGTAAAGTAAACAAGGTTTTCAAAATGTTTAAGAAGCTTCATTTAAAATTAAATTAAAATGCTTACCTTATGCTGCCAGCCTGCTCAGCCCACTGGGTGGGGGGTTCAGGGCAGAGGGCTGGGTGTGGGGGGGGACTCGAGGTCAGGGCAAAGGGCTGGGGTGTGTGTGGAGGTGCAGGGCGGAGGGCTGGGGGGTGTGGAGGTGCAGGGCAGAGGGCTGGGTGTGGGGGGGGTTCAGGGCAGAGGGCTGGGGTGTGAGGAGTTGGGGGGGTGCAGGGCAGAGGGATGGGTGTGTGTTGGGGTGGGGAGGTGCAGGGCAGAAGGCTGGGGGTGGGGTGGGTCAGGGCAGAGGGCTGGGGGGTGTGTGTGGAGGTGCAGGGGAGAAGGCTGGGTGTGTGGGGGGTTCAGGGCAGAGGGCTGGGTTGCTTGGCTCGGGGGGGTGCTCCCAGCCCCCTGCCCTGAGCAGCTCATGGCAGGGGGCTGGGAGGGATATGACCTGTTCCACCCCCTTCCCCCAGGCCGGTCCCTACCTCTCTCTGCCTGCTCTACAGAGCAGCCAGCAGGCTGCCCTCGGCTCTGCTCCTCTGGGAGGAGGAGGGGCCGGAATGCACCACGTTGTGGGAAGAAACGGGCGGGGGGGGGAGAGGAGAGCGTGACTGCCGCAGGACCAAGCTTCTGCCTCCTGCCCCCCGCAGGGGAGAGTGGTGGGCGGGGGGGCTGAGTGGGGCGGGGGGCCGGGACCCCCTCCCCACTGCTCTCCCCTGCGGGGGCAGGAGGCAGAAGCTTGATCCTGCGGCAGCCAAGCTTCCCCCTCCCCCTTCTTCCCACAGCATGGTGCATTCCGGCCCCTCCGCCCCTCCTCCTCCTCCTCAGTGGGCAGCAGCGTGCCACTCAGAATCGGCTTGCGTGCCATGTTTGGCACCCGTGCCGTAGGTTGCTGACCCCTGTAATAGCTAGAGGCTCAGATACCTCCTCTATTAGGTCCTTGAGTATTCTAGGATACATTTCATCAGGCCCTGGTGACTTGCAGACATCTAACTTTTCTAAGTGATTTTTAACTTGTTCTTTTTTATTTTATCTTCCAAACCTACCCCCTTCCCATTAGCATTCACTATGTTAGGCATTCCTTCAGACTTCTCGGTGAAGACCGAAACAAAGAAGTCATTGAGCATCTCTGCCATTTCCAAGTTTCATAAGAACATACATAAAAACATAAGAACAGCCGTACCGGGTCAGACCAAAGGTCCATCTAGCCCAATATCCTGTCTATCAACAGTGGCCAATGCCAAGTGCCCCTGAGGGAGTGGACCTAACAGGCAATGATCAAGTGATCTCTCTCCTGCCACCCATCTCCATCCTCTGACAAACAGAGGGTAGGGACACCATTCTTTACCCATCCTGGCTAATAGCCATTCATGGACTTAACCACCATGAATTCATCCAGTTCTCTTTTAAACGCTGTTGTAGTCCTAGCCTTCACAACCTCCTCAGGTAAGGACTTCCACAAGTTGACTGTGTGCTGCATGAAGAAGAACTTCCTTGTATTTGTTTTAAACCTGTTGCCTATTAATTTCATTTGGTGACCCCTAGTTCTTGTATTATGGGAATAAGTAAATAACTTTTCCTTATCCACTTTCTCCACATCACTCATGATTTTATATACCTCTATCATATCCCCCCTTAGTCTCCTCTTTTCCAAGCTGAAGATTCCTAGCCTCTTTAATCTCTCCTCATTATGGGACCCGTTCCAAACACCTAATCATTTTAGTTGCCCTTTTCTGAACCTTTTCTAATGCCAGTATATCTTTTTTGAGATGAGGAGACCGCATCTGTACGCAGTATTCGAGATGCGGGTGTACCATCGATTTATATAAGGGCAATAATATAGTCTCTGTCTTATTCTCTATCCCCTTTTTAATAATTCCTAACATCCTGTTTGCTTTTTTGACCGCCTCTGCACACTGCGTGGACATCTTCAGAGAACTATCCACGATGACTCCAAGATCTTTTTCCTGACTTGTTGTAGCTAAATTAGCCCCCATCATACTGTATGTATAGTTGGGGTTATTTTTTCCAATGTGGATTACTTTACATTTATCCACATTAAATTTTATTTGCCATTTTGTTGCCCAATCACTTAGTTTTGTGAGATCTTTTTGTCACAGTCTGCTTTGGTCTTAACTATCTTGAGCAGTTTAGTATCATCTGCAAACTTTGCCACCTCACTGTTTACCCCTTTCTCCAGATCATTTATGAATAAGTTGAATAGGATTGGTCTGAGGACTGACCCCTGGGGAACACCACTCGTTACCCCTCTCCATTCTGAGAATTTACCATTAATTCCTACCCTTTGTTCCCTGTCTTTTAACCAGTTCTCAATCCATGAAAGGACCTTCCCTTTTATCCCATGACAGCTTCATTTATTTAAGAGCCTTTGGTGAGGGACCTTGTCAAAGGCTTTCTGGAAATCTAAGTATCAGAGGGGTAGCCGTGTTAGTCTGAATCTGTAAAAAGCAACAGAGGATCCTGTGGCACCTTTAAGACTAACAGAAGTATTGGAGCATAAGCTTTTGTGGGTGAATGCCCACTTCATCAGTATGCTCCAATACTTCTGTTAGTCTTAAAGGTGCCACAGAACCCTCTGGAAATCTAAGTACACTATGTCCACCGGATCCCCCTTGTCCACATGTTTGCTGACCCCTTCAAAGAACTCTAATAGATTAGTAAGACACGATTTCCCTTTACAGAAACCATGTTGACTATTGCTCAACAGTTTGTTTTTCTATGTGTCTGACAATTTTTTTCTTAACTATTGTTTCGACTAATTTGCCCGGTACCGATGTTAGACTTACCGGTCTGTAATTGCCGGGATCACCTCTAGAACCCTTTTTAAATATTGGTGTTACGTTAGCTAACTTCCAGTCATTGGGTACAGAAGCCAATTTAAAGGACAGGTTACAAACCTTAGTTAATAGTTCCGCAACTTCACATTTGAGTTCTTTCAGAACTCTTGGGTGAATGCCATCTGGTCCCGGTGACTTGTTAATGTTAAGTTTATCAATTAATTCCAAAACCTCTAGTGACACTTCAATCTGTGACAGTTCCTCAGATTTGTCACCTACAAAAGCTGGCTCAGGTTTGGGAATCTCCCTAACATCCTCAGCCGTGAAGACTGAAGCAAAGAATCCATTTAGTTTCTCCGCAATGACTTTATCGTCTTTAAGCGCTCCTTTTCTATCTCTATCATCAAGGGGCCCCACTGGTTGTTTAGCAGGCTTCCTGCTTCTGGTGTACTTAAAAAAACATTTTGTTATTACCTTTGGAGTTTTTGGCTAGCTGTTCTTCAAACTCCTCTTTGGCTTTTCTTATTACATTCTTGCAGTTAATTTGGCAGTGTTTATGCTCCTTTCTATTTGCCTCACTAGGATTTGACTTCCACGTTTTAAAGGAAGTCTTTTTATCCCTCACTGCTTCTTTTACATGGTTGTTAAGCCACGGTGGCTCTTTTTTAGTTCTTTTACTGTGTTTCTTAATTTGGGGTTTTACTGTGTTTCCTGTTACTGTTTCTCCCTCCTAACTGAGCAGTGGGCCTACCCTGTCCTTGATCTTCCTCTTGCTTCTAATGTATTGATAAAGTCATTTAAGTTTATGATACTTCCAGTCTTTTACCTGAATCTGGTGTTACTCTTCTCCTCCAGGGTTTTATTTCTTCTTTGTGGCGGTCAGGAGGGTCACTTCATTTCCAAACAGACTTCCGAGAGCACAATAGAGCATCCCTCTGTGAAACCTTGTATTTCACACAGACTATTTACATTGGGCGAATCAGATTTGTTTTCTGATGTTGCAAGATTGGTTGCATTGGGTTTTGTTATTCCTCTTTTGGCTAGACACTTCCCTCTTTATTTGAACCTTGCTTTTTCTTTTTAATGTTTACTATCTTTTTGGATAGTTAAATCTGTTATGATAACCCTCCTACAAAAACCTCTTTATACAGCAGGAATAAGGGAGCTCGTTTTTATAAAAACTATCTAGAATGCTTTTAAAATTTCTAGATGTTTTGTAAAACCTTTTAGGCCTTTTAATTTAAAAAAACTTAAATGTGTTTGTTAATTTTCATTTTTTAAAGGATGTGGATTCATATATCCATCGATCTGGGCGCACAGGAAGAGCTGGACGGACTGGAATGTGTATCTGTTTTTATCAGCGAAAGGAAGAAGATCAATTAAGACACGTAGAACAAAAAGCGGTAACAGTCTAGCTTTCTTTGGGGTTTGTTTTGCTTAATCAGTCATTGAACATCTAAAAATACAGTGTGCGCATATATTCTTGGGGACCTCACAGTCAAGTGCTGTGTAAGGCTACACGGTTCCAACCCGGAAATAGGCAGGGCCTAAAATGGTAATACTAGTCTTTGAAAAGTTTTTATGTACTGTGCTGTGTTGTCTTCTGCAGGTTTTCCTATTCTTCAAATATAACTTTGAATATCCTTTCAAATATAACTTTGCCAAGGCTTGTTCATGTGAAACTTCATGTATATACTTGTAGCAGTTGGTGTCTGATAGATTGTGGAATGATTACATGTTCTTTCTGTGTACTACAAAAATCTATCTTTAAAGGAGAACTTGAAAGGCTGTTCTGAAAACAATGTCAAAGCATTGAAGGTACTGAATCAGTAATATGCAGGCTTTTAAATTTACAAATTAAAATGAAATACTTGAAAATCCTCTCCTGTTTCACTTATCTGTCGAGGCTTGCATTTAGAGTTGTGTAATCCCTACAAAGATGAGATGGTAGAAATCCCATTTTTTGCATTTCTTGTTCTGTTTCAGGGTGTCATTAGCTGCTGAAGGCTAAACAGAATTTTGAACCCTAGGTTCTTTCTTTTGGGCATGTATTAAACATTCATCTTAGAACTTTACTTTCTTCAGGAATGTTTAATGGAAAGAGGTAAAAATTACACAATAAAAGTAGAGCCTTGAACCAACTATTGTCTCAGTTCCCTGGCTTAATTCTGTCCCTCATGTTTTCAGTTTCCTTTGAGGATTAAATACTCTTACTCTGTAGGATTAAATTGTTTTCAGTGTCAATCCATTGACATTGCACAAACTATTATACTGGCTTTTGGCGAAGATCGTTGTTATATCTAAATCTGATACGTCTTGTGTTGTGGGGCTAGACTCTGATCTACTGAGTCTTTTCCATTTCTAATGGCTTTGATTCAAATATGTGATCATGACACAGGTACCCACACATGAACAAAGATAAGAATAATTTTAATGTGTTCTATTTTATACAAGAGAGGCTTTTTATAGTTTTTAAATTATCATGGTTAAATAAAGATTGAACAAAGGATTTCCTGCTTAGGACTAGTAAGGGAATGGTGGCCTTGGAAACAGGACTTGACGAGAATTTGGTTCTGTTGAGTAATGTAGGGAAAAGACCTTGAGCTGTAATTCATTTTCTCTTCTCAATTTCAGGGCATTACATTTAAGCGTGTAGGTGTGCCTACAGCAACAGATATAATTAAAGCTTCCAGTAAAGATGCTATCAGGTAAGTTCATTATCTGTCCACAGTTACAAGATGTCTTGAACTTGTAGAAGAAAAATATTGATGCCAATATGGAGATGTAAGACTCAGTCCTGTTACATATACAGTCATACATTTGTCTTTTATAAAATCAGTTGCCTTACATATGTACGCTGTCTGATTTTAGTAAGATATTAGCAGTAAGCCCCTCACACAGCAAAATGTCCTTTTTAAAAATATATGTTGTTAGGTTATAACTGAAAGTTACTTTTATCAAACCTAACTACAAGTAATAGAATAGAAAATTACTTACGTATAGGGAAACTGACTTATTCCAGGCAGTTGCTATTGATTTTTAAGAATTGTTACTATATTTAGTATAACTAGAGTAGCCTTTTAGTTAATGTGTCTGTTGCAGCTCACACTCTGCATTTTGTATCAGATTCATTATTAGTGTTGCTGTTTTCACTCTGTTCAGCTTCAGCCCTAGCTTTGTACACATCTAACACCTAGTTGGTGGAAATCGCTTCCAGGTGGCATTTTCCTCATGCTTCCCTGCAGGGGCATGCACAGGAATAAAAATTTTACCCCCTTCCGGGGGGGGGGGGGGGGGCGTAGGGAGAGACACATTCTGTGCTCCTGCCAGGACTGGAGGCGCTTGCTCTCGCCCTGGGGACCCTGTGCTCCCCTCACCTCTGGGAACCCTGTGCTCCCCCCTCGACTGACCCCTTCCTTGCCTGCACCACCCCCAGAAACTCTGTTCACTGACCCGCTACTATTGATTAGGAGGATTTTTGCACCATATCATCTCAGCTGCTGATTGGTGGAGGCAGAGAAGAGGGTGGGGTGGATGAGCTCCGGAGAACGCGACTCCTGGAGGAGGGAATCTGGCTGCTGAGAGCTCTGCCTGGGTGTGCGAGCAGACATCCAGTACGAAGTGGGGGTGGAGGGGGGGGATGACAAATACCCTCCCCTACCCTCCCTAAATGGTGCCCCTGCCCTGGGGCCGGAGGAGCTTTCTCTTCTCCTGGAACCAGAGGAGTTTTCCCAAGAGAGATAATAATTGGTGGGGTCCATGCCCATGCTTGGAAACCCCCACGTCCCCTCCCCCCATTCACGCCCCTACTTCGCTGTCTTGAAAACTTTTTCCCCTGTGTATTTGTGAGTGATGTGTTGATGCTTTCCATACATCATTTTCATACAAGAGAGAGGTGGTTTACCACTAGTCAGTGTCAAATCTGACGTTCTTGAACATACATATCTGATACTTGTAAGTTTGGACCCAAATCAGCCTTCATTTGTGCATCTACAACAGTCACTGAAGTCAGTGATCGCTGCACCTATGTAACTGAGGTCTCCTGTATCCATCAATAACTGCAGTGATAGGATCGACTAGCCAGCCAAATAGGCCCTTTCTAAATGTAATATCTATGACTCTTAATTAAGATGACTAGGTATAACATTTTATATTTCTGAGAATTTCCTTGAATACAGTCTAATAGTATGTATTTGCTGTATATCAAGAATAGACTTTGCCAGTGTAGTATGATTTAGAAATATTTGTTCAGTCTGAGATTAGCAGAGGTTTAATAATATAACTTGAGGGGCTTGATCTGGGGTTGTGATCACCATGTTCTTCCCATGTTGCTAAATGGGACTGGGAGTTCCAGCATGGAAGAGGTTGAGAACCATTTGCCTAGTGAGCTATTGGTATGCACTGCCGTGTTGGAGATGCAGGTTTAACCCCTCCACCTTCCCTCCCACAGCTTCGCTCCATGTGTCAGTGGTAAGTGTCAATGTGTTGAAGCAGCCTCCTCTGGGAGTGGGAAGTACTTTGCTCAGCTCATCAGTGACTTTGTGGTGTGCTACAAAAGGCCATTGATAGATGCTAAACAGGGATCTATTTATTGCTCGTAATGAAATGATGGTCACTACATGATCTTCTGTGTGGAGCATAAAAGGAGGGAATCGGCTTCACTGGCAATACAGAGTATTCTTGGGGCAAACGGCACTCTGCATATGTTATAGCCTTCTCTTGGGTGGTTAGCTCAAGATTTTCCAAGTGACTGTTTGGGTGCCAAACTGGGAGACACCTTAAAGAGGCGGGATTATCAGAGGATGGGGACTTGCCACTTGCAGAGTATCAGGCCCCTTTTGAAGGTACCCAAGATTGGTGCACAAAAATTGAAGCACCCAACAATAACTAGCCACTTCTGAAATTCTTGGCCTTAACCTTTGAATTAGTCTTAACAAGTTAATGAAATTTCTCTCACACAATTGAATTTTGTAATGTTGGCTTTCTGTATATTGACCTATCAAATCTTTGCTGTAAATACGTAGGTTTTTGGATTCCGTTCCTCCTTCTGCCATCGACTATTTCAAACAATCAGCTCAGCGGCTGATAGAGGAAAAGGGGGCAGTGGAAGCTCTGGCTGCAGCACTAGCCCATATTTCTGGGGCTACTTCCATTGAACAGCGTTCCTTGCTCAACTCAGATGCGGTAAATAATAATGTTGCATGTCACTACTGTGCTCAGAGCACTGTATGAACTAATCTCATAACACCTCTGTGAGAGGGGTAAATATTCTGTCCATCTTAGAGAGAGAGAGAGATTATGTATTGAATGGTAAGCAGTGTTGCAAATTTACTGAATAAGTGTAACAAGGCCTGATGCCCTTCAGCTCCCTGTGTCTGAAACTAGCCCTCACCATCACTTTCTGGCACCGTTTAGTTACAGAGATTGTTGCCTCCATTCTCCTTTAATGAGGTACTCTCAAGTTGTTAGCCCAGTCCAAACAGAGCTTCCTTGTTGCTTTCCCAACTAGGTGCCTGAGCTGCAGCTATTGTCGACCTTGCATCAAATTCCAGTTTTCTTAACTAAAATCAAATCTTAGTGGCATAGTACAGAAAACAGAGGAACTTGAAACTAATTAGTATATTTTGCTTTAACCGGCACTAAGAAAAGGACCCCGAAATTGTCTCAGAGCTTAACTACAGAAAAGTGTGATACCATAATGGAAAACTTTAGTAAAGTTTCTTGAGCCAATAGGATGGTTTCTGCTGGTTTAGTCTGTCTTTCTGGAAAATGAAGTCCCAGCATATTTTAAGGAAAAAGAGAGTCCAGCAGGTAGTCTCTGGGAGTATCTTGTTACAGGAAAGACCCTGTAGAAAAAGCTTTCTTTGATGTGGGCAGAGGCTACCCAACTCCAGTTCATCTTTGGATGGTAACAGTTTTGAAGTCAGTACAGTAGATTTCATCTTGTTACATTGCCATCTGGATTTCCTTTCCTTATATTGGCCTGTACTAAGTTCTCATGTCTCTTCCTTTTGTAATTTTATAAATGGATATTGATGTGCACCTAATAACTGATCCCCTCACTTCCAACAAATATATTCAGTCTAAAGACTGATACCAATGTGGATTTCTAGCTAGTCTTCATTTTCTCTTGAAGGCTTTTATTATCATGTGAATGGAGGGTGCCTTTATTCCAGACAGCCTACTTGTTAACAGAACAGTAGAGCCTTAAATGACTACTTACAGTAGTCACAAAGATTTATATAGGAATTAATATTCGACAGATTGGACACTATCTGCCACAGTCTGGTTTAGTCCTTCATTGTAAACACATTTCACTGTTTCTTTTTAAAGGGCTATGTGACAATGACATTACAATGTTCGGTAGAGATGCACAACCTTGGCTATGCTTGGCGAGGACTAAAAGAACAGCTTGGTGATGAAATAGACAATAAAGTTATCAGAATGCGTTTTCTCAAGGGAAAGATGGTGAGATGGTTTATCCTATTGTTTTGTATGTTTGGTTTATTTGGGGAATTTAAGGGCATCTTCTCCTTTTAATGCAGGTGTTGGCCTCTACCATGACCTCATCAAAGTTGTCTATGAGGAGGGTTGTTTTTCTACATTTTGCCTCTATTGTAATCCAATGACAGAGAAGTTAGGAAATTCACTTCATATAGGAACCCATCATGTTACACTAATGGGTTGAAATAGCTTCTCTTTCATCAATAAAATAGACAAATAGTTCTTATTGCTCACACTCATCTGTAAATACTTTGCAATCAGCAGTTCAGGGACTTGGCTCAGTGGAGTCACTTGACTCCTGCACAAAGAGCTTTGACAAAGAAGTTGCATTGCAGGAAGTTCATGCCCTACCTTTGAACAGATACATTACTTTAGGGAAGTGGGGCTGCTGTCAGCACCAAGCATTTGATTCCTCATTTTTTGGCACATCTAAAATTTTTATTTCCCACAGAATATAAAGGCACTCTCAAAATAGAGCAGGCACTCTGCTACAGTGTTACCTTCATACTTACTTGGAATTAATAAGCAGTGTTTCAGATGTAGTCTGTTATCTGAAGTTAGTGTTCCAATGTCTCTCTTTTTGGATGCCAGCTTGGAAAGTAAATGAATATTCTCTCTGTTGTGTTTAGGGTGTGTGCTTTGATGTCCGTACAGCTGAGCTAAATCGTATACAGGTATGTTCTTATTGCTGGAGGACCTTTAGAATCCTTTTTGGGTCGTTTAAGCCAAATACTGTAGCTGCTACTTATATGGTTAGACTATGGTAGTACACCTCTACCCCGATATAACGCTATCCTCGGGAGCCAAAAAATCTTACTGCGTTATATTGAACTTGCTTTGATCTGCCAGAGTGCACAGCTTCCCCCTTCCCCCCGGAGCACTGCTTTACCGCGTTATATCCGAATCCGTGTTATATCGGGTCGCGTTATATCGGGGTAGAGGTGTATAAGGCTTACAGTTTAATGCAGAGAGTCCAAAACTTTTGTGCATGAAGAGGGCTGCATATTCATTACAAAATATACTCTTTCCTGCTGTTCTCGTTAACTGAACATATTTTGCTGCTTCTGACTTTTTGCTTGTCTGTCCATTGCCTTCCTCTTCTTTACAAAATCCTGCGTTGTTTTCTACATTGTGTCTTGGTCTTTCGGCTGCTGTCAACCCCCCTAACTGAGGGCATTAATAGTAACCAACTTACCCTGTGGTTATTCTCTCCTCTGTCCCATGACTGTGAATTGTAAGGGTTTTAAAGACTAATGTTGACCCTTGTCCATAAGATGGATCTGATGAACTAGTTTGGTGAGGATGAGGCTGGTTTTGAAATAACTTCTATGAATGTTCTTGCATGCAAATTCAGTTCCTACGTTTTCATGATTTCTTTAAATGAATGCATTAAACTTGTTTGATCAGGAGCAATGGCAAGATTCAAGACGCTGGCAGCTGTCCATAGCAACGGAGTTACCTGAGCTAGAAGAAATTCCACGTGAAGCAGGCCGAGGTTTCTCTAACTTCAGTAACGGGAGGCAAGGAGGCGGTGGCTTTAACAAAAATAACAGATTCAAAAACGGAGGCCAGAAACGAAGTTTTCACAGAGCATTTTAGTAACTAATTCAGTTGATGTAGCTATGGGACTACATAATGCCTGCTTTATTGAAATTAAAAGCTCTTGAACTTTCCCGTTTGTTTTTGTTACTTGCTAAACGAGTCACTTGTCTGTAAGTGAGGATGGCAACAAAATCTACTTGTTGAAGTGACATAAAGTTCATTTTAAAAGAAGATCTTGCTGTTTTCTTCCACTCCTGATGGACATGTTTGAAATGTGTAGTTCTAAAAATATAAGCCAACAATTCACATTTTTGGATGAAATCTCTTTTCTGCCTATATGTATCAGGACTGACTGTCACACTAAGAACCTGCCTCTTTGGGTATGTCTACACAGCAGCTGTGAATGACTGACTTGCATTAAAACAGTAAAAATAGCAGCATGGACGTTGCAGAGCCCAAGCTCCAGCCCAAGCCACCACATCCACAGTGCTGTTTTTAGCACGAGCCCTACTAGTGCAAGTCTGCCTTCTCAGGCTGGGAGCTCACTCCAAGCTGCAGTGTAAGTATATCCTTTAAGAGGCAAATGATATAGAATTGGTGTACTGATAACGTGAATTTCCTTTGTTACAGTCTCTTCTACTATGCTTATGCTGTGTTAAGTGGACAAATTTGAACATAGCTGCCATAACAGACTTCATCTTTTCATTTTCTTTTAATGTTACAATTTAAAGTCTTTCTTAAAAAATACCTCTGTGGCATAAAGAGACATCCCGTCCCCTGCAGGCATTAAAGCTTACCCTGAGAGGTTTCAGAGTAGCAGCCATGTTAGTCTGTATCCGCAAAAAGAAGAGGAGTACTTGTGGCACCTTAGAGACTAACAAATTTATTAGAGCATAAGCTTTGGTGGACTACAGCCCACTTCTTCG